GTGTGTGTGTGTGTGTGTGTGTGTGTGTGTGTGTGTGATTTATCTGTTTTGAAATAGACAGTATAAAAGATAAAAGAATGCAACAATACGCTGTTTATTAGTTTTGTATGCTGTTTATTAGTTTTGTATGCCACCCACTCCCGAAGGACACCGTGTTAATATGGCAGACATTTTGGGATATCTTATAATAATATCATATTATATTATAATTGAATTCATTAGTAAGTCAGTGACTGTTGACTATAAAATAGGTTTTTCTTCTTTTTTTCTTAGTTTGTATTTTTCAAATTGTATTTTTTTCCCTTTAAGATTAAAGATTGTCTTTAATCTTAACAAACTCACTAAATAAATAAATAAATAAATAATCTATTTCTACAAAATATAAATTGGAATACTTTAATATATGTGTATGTGTGTGTGTTATATATGTACAAAATAACCAAACACACAACCCCCACAAACATATATGTGAAATAATTCTAAACTTCATGTTCTGAAATAAACAGGCGGTCCTATAATTACTTACTTCAGAGTGAGTGTCAAACGTAATGAGACATTGTAAATAGATATAAATAGATTAACACTGTGTGGTTTTCAATATAAGTCCTTGCACATTTACCTTAAATGTAAATTTGTCAACTGTTTGATGAATTTTAACTGATTAATAATGAAGTTTATAATTGATTTACTAATTCCTTACTTTTGCTTATTGTTGAAGTCCCAATGATTTTCAGGAAGGGTGAAAAAATTACTTCATTATTTAAAAAAACAAATGTTACCCAACTTCTGGAAAACAAAGTCATATTTAATATTTTCCTTCTCATTACTTTGGTTTCTTGACTTGCATCTAGTCAAGTTATAAACTCAAGCAGCAGAGACCAAGGAATGAAATCTTTGAGATCAAGGGGGAAATCGCCCCAACTCTCGAATTATAACATGGACAATATTTAAACTGTTTGGTCATAGAAATAAATGGAATGCCATCTTCATGCTTGGCCTAGAAGTGTGTATAGGTACAAGCACGTGTACTAGCTTCACGGTGAGAAGGGACTCACCTCCTCAGTAGAATATCTTAATGACCACTCAAACTGGTCACTGATCATTCATGAGCAGAAAAGTGTTTGTGTTTCTGCATCCCTAATTCTCATCCGTTTGAACTTTCGACTTGTTTCTGAATGCCACTTCCTGCTTTGCCTTTTGTTTTCAACTTCTGCTTTGCTTTTGGTTCACCTCAGATGGTTGTCTGTTGTGCAGCCTTAAGGGGCAGGAACTGAGGCCAGATTTTTCTATCGCTCAGTGGTCTAGTACAATTTTAAGAATGTCCTTTATCATTTTTGGAAGGTCTTGCCTTAGCACAAATAAATATTTCCCATAGTCTGAAGTTTCACCACTGATGGTCAGCTGGATTTGATATATCTAAGGAAAATAATGCCTCTGAGTTCCTTTATACAACCAAAGATGTTGCAGCCAGCAGAGTTCAAAGAATAGCACAAACAGATGCATTCCTTGATAGATGCATGCCTTGAATTGAGAAATGATGGCCTACATTTTGTTCTAGTAACAGTATGAAATATAACATCTAAGACATTGCATTGCACAAGGCTTTCAGAAAACAAACAGGAAGGGCTATTAATTCAACATCTATTTTTCCTTCATTAATGTACTCCAAATGTTATTGAATTCTGTTAACAAAAAAGAATAACTTTGTAGAACTTTTTATCAAAATGAATTTTAAGAAAATAGGAATAAATATAGATGATTAAGACAATTAAAGGAAAGTCACACTGTTTGATTAAGCTTACTCTGAAAAATCAGTGACAAAATCTTGTAGCACAAGGAAAAGAACATATTACATATAACATTTCTCCCAGGCCTCTCATTTCATCATGATACTTGCCATCTTTTTTCTTTACTTTCTATTAATTTTATTGTATTTTTGGTTGCATGTTCTGAGACTTCCACAATAGTAGTATTAGTAATTTGGAATATAGTGGTGTCAGTTTTGTTACATCAAAACAGCATGATTATCCCCCTAAAGATTTATTTAATTTACTTATTAAAGTAAAGCCCTAGTTTCATTACGATAATCCTATAGAGCAGGGGTGTCAAACTTGCGTCGCCACGGCAGAATCATGTGATGTATTGTGACTTTCCCACCCCTTTGCTAAACTGGGCATGAGCATGGCCAGTGCGTGACACATCTAGCCTGCGAGCTGCAAGTTTGATACCCCTGCTATAGAGGATTGTTACGATTGAGTTCCTGGGAATTGGGTAGAAGATAACAGTCTTCACCTACGCTCTCTCTATTTTCATTTTAAGTCTGATTTTTAAAGGTTGGTTTAAACATCAAACTAAGCTGTATGTCATATATTTTTGACTTGGGACATTGTGAATTTGTATTTATATTATTTTATCAAACAGGTACT